GTGCACACTCCACAGGAGCCCCTGCCTCACACTCTATAGTGCACACTCCACAGGAGTCCCCGCCTCACACTCTATAGTGCACACTCCACAGGAGCGCCTTCCTGCCTCACACTCTATAGTGCACACTCCACAGGAGTCCCTGCCTCACACTCTATAGTGCACATCTCCCCCGCGAGAGCTCCTTGCTAGCCTCCCGACTCCATTTTATTCGAGTTTGATGTAAGTGAGTCCGTTTTGTTCAAATACCTGTTTGTTTTGGGGACATAGTTTCTCTGTGTCCACCAGGCTTGCTTCAAATCTTTGTTGATCTGAAGTGCTTGGTGACAGGCAGGATTGCAGGCATGCGGGATTGCAGGCATGCAGGATTGCAGGCATGCGGGATTGCAGGCATGCGGGATTGCAGGCATTCGGGATTGCAGGCATGCGGGATTGCAGGCATGCGGGATTGCAGGCATGCGTTACCAGCCCGCCAGGGATGCACACCCTTTTTATACTAGCAACTTTCCCAGAGGCTGCCTCCAGGGAAGGAGGGAGAATCCAGGCCACCTCAGCACCTGGCTTGCTGCTAACCACCCTGAGAAATTCTTCCATTGACCTTCCCGCTCCCCATCAGAGGAGAGCCCCAGCACAGGGCGGATGGACACCAGCAAGGAAAATTCCTCTGCTGGCCCGATTGTTTTCTTTGACCCCCCAGAGGATTTGGCTAAGTTTCAGGTCAGAACTGGTTTTGCTTCCTCAGATGAGCTCCTACTCGCTCGGTCTAGGATGTGATCCCATTCCCATGATGCTCCCTGCCAGGCTCAGCAGGTGCACCCAGCTGAGAGGGCTGCTGGGAAACCCTCCTAAGAATGCAGAGGCCGAAGGGCTGGCACAGCGGCTCAAACCTGTTACCTAAGCAGTTAGAGGCTGGAGGGTTAAAAGTTCAAGACCATCTTGGAATCAGGGCAAGAGTTTTCTCAGATAAACAAACAGCTGGAGATGTGGCTCAGTGGGTAGAGCTGCAGGATGGGGAGAGAGAGAGAAACAGAGATAGATTTCTCAAAGGTCCTTTTAGCCTTAGACAGATGTCCAATCCTTCATGCCTCCTCTGGGAAGAAGGGGTCAAGATGGCACCAAGTTCACTGTGACAGCAAGTCCCCTGGAACGCTTAAGAAAATGTCACATGAATCCCGTGATCACGCATAGTCACTGTTTACTGGTAAAAGCATGTAAGCATGGACTGACACATATAAAGTCCTCAGACTAACAGCTGATGACTGTGTTAGTGTCTGTCACCGTGACAAAACATCTGATGTAATCAACTTGAAGAGAAAAGGTGCCGGGCGGTGGTGGTGCACGCCTTTAATCCCAGCACTCGGGAGGCAGAGCCAGGCGGATCTCTGTGAGTTCGAGGCCACTACAGAGGGAGTTCCAGGACAGCCAGGGCTACACAAAGAAACCTTGTCTCAAAAAAAAAAAAAAAAAAAAAAAAAAAAAAAAAAAAAAAAAAAAAAAAGACTTTAAGGTAAAGGCTGGAGAGATGCTCAGTGGTTAAGATCAATATTTGCTCTTATAGAGGACCTGGCTTTGGTTCCTAGTACCCAATGATGGCTCACAATAGTTCATAACCCAATTCCAAGGGATCTGATTGCCTTTCTGACCTCCAAGGCACCAGGCACACATCGAGTACACAGACATACATACAGACAAACATTTGTACATGTAAAATAAAATTAATCTTAAAATAAAAAAGCCGATGGGCAGTGGTGGTGTGCACTTTCCATCCCAGCACTAGGGAGAAAGAGACAGGTGGATCTCTGGGAGTTCAAGGCCAGCCTGTTTCCAGGACAGCCAGGACTACACAGTGAGACCCTGTCTCAAAAAACAAAAAACAAAACAAAACAAACAAACAAACAAAGCCATCGGAGACGCCTATCACCAAATCTTCTTAGTTCTCACTCTTCATCCAGGAAACTTCTCTTTGCGACAGATGGAGACCGCTAAGAGCAAACAATCATAACGCAGCGTTGAGGATCCCAGCCCCAACGGATAGTTACAAAGCATCCTGTGTCTAAGGCTGAGGAAACATTTCGGAAGAGGACACATAAAGACTGGAAGAGCCAGAGGATCAGGGACTTTGCTGTGAGACTGTCTTCTAGAAATATCAGAAGCTGCACTCATAATGCATCACCAACCAAATGTGAACTAGACAAGGACAACACCAATGGACATCTCAAAGCGGACAGAGAAAAGCCCACAAGGCCTCGACCCTACACAAAGAACTTCAGTCACCTGAAGAATTCCTAGAGGGGGAGAATAGTCTCTTCCCCAGGGAAGAGAATGCCATTTGGTTATCCAGCTCCAAGTGGCCGGCCCTGAAAACATACACACAAGTAATAGTATACAGACTAGACAGGTGTTCTGAGGAGTGTATATACATATGCATGTATGTGTATAACAATAATTAATGAAAAGAGAGGCCATGGATTTGAAAGAGAGCAGGGAGGGGTCCATGGGAGGGTTTGGAGGGAGGAAAGGGAGAAATGTAATTATATTATAATCTCAAAAATAAAAGAAAACTCAGGGCAGTGGTGGCGCACACCTTCAATACCAGCACTTGGGAGGAAGAGGCAGGTAGATCTCAGGGTTTGAGGCTAGCCTAATCTACATAGTGAGTTCCAGGACAGCCAGGGTTACATAGAGAAATCTGTCTCAAAAATAAAAAAAATAAATTAATTAATAAAGAGATAAATAAGGGAAGGAAGGAAAGAAAACAAAAAGAGCAAACAAAGAAAGCATCCAATGCCATCCTGGGCTCCCCGGCCAGCTGGAGCCAGGGCTGCGGGAGACTGCACAGCGTTGGTTCCACATGCCCTCAGCAGAGAGCTAAGGCCAGAGTTAATAAGCCAGAGTTTCAAAGTCATCCTCGGCTACATGGAGTCTGAGGACAGCCTGGGCTACAAGAGATCTGCCTTAAAGAGAAGGGGAGAGGGGAGAAGCCGAGAGGAAGAGGAAGAGGACGGTGGGGCGGGAGGAGGAGAGGAGACGGGGGAGGCGCGTAAGTGGGGACAGGGAGCCCTCAGCCAACGTGTGCCAGCGCGACACGGCACAAGACAGTGTGTGAGACACTGTTGACCCGCGCACCGGGACGAGGGGACAAGCCTTGCCCAGACGGGAAGCACGCGTGGGCACCCTAAGGATGTGGGAGCCGAGAGGCGTCAACTATTTTCTATGGCAGCAGCGCCCCCTAGCGGCCCCCGGAGGAGAGCTCCAGCATTCCACTCGGACCGGCTCCATCAGGCCAGTGTGATTTCGCAGTTCAAGGAAATCGTCCATTGAGCTCAAAATTCTGCAGATTCAGCAGCGATCAACGGCTCAGAATTCTTTGTGGAAGAGAGAACATATCCCTCCACCTGCCGCGCGGGGGAGGCAGGACACTGCAAGTTTTCAGAGGTGGCTCAAAGGAGGAAGCCAGCTGTGCGGGTACGTGTCTGAATCCCAGCATTCGGGAGGCACAGGCAGGTGGTCTCTGTGAGTTCGAGGCCAGCCTGGTCTGCATAGCGAGTTCCAGGAAAGGTGCAAAGCTACACAGAGAAACCCTGTCTCGAAAAAACAAACAAACAAAAAAAAAAGTACAAGATTATTTTCAGCTACATAGCTACTTTGAGGTTTACTGGGCTACAGGAAACTCTGTCAAAAATACAAAAGACAAGTGAGGAGACGGATCAGTCAGTCAAGTGCCTGCCTTGTAACCATGAGGACCTGAGTTCAGCTCTCAGAAAATATATAAAAAAGCCAGTGTACTGGCTGACGAGATACTCAGTGGATAAATCAGTGGATAAATGTACCTGCCATCAACCTGATGATCAGCACCCACACCGTGGCTCACAACCACATGGGACTCCAATCTCAGGGGACTAAATGCCGTCTGGCCTCTATAGGCACCACACACACATGGAGCACAGGCAAAACACTCATACAAAATAAAGGTAAATATATTCATATTTTTAAAAGCTAAAGTTTTCATTAAATTAAAAATAACCAAACAACATGTGTGGCCCTCGTAGCCCCTTTCTTATTCATCCCACCCTGGTTTAGTGAGCACCGACTGGGCCAGGATCGAGGAGCAGTGGATGTCAGTCACTCACATGATAAGTACTGAGGGGGCACTTTGTCTGGTGACCCTGGTGGCCTGGTGGCCCTGGTGGCCCTGTGGCCCTGGGGGCCCTGGGGGCCCTGGGGGCATATAGGAGGCTTATCTCCTTTAGGTCCTGAGTGGCCTGTTTGGAGAAGCAGCCAAGTAGGGCCGTGGGGTGGGGGCACCTGTTTTCCTGTGACAGTCACTCTTGTCCCAGCTTCCAACCGTTCGGTTATGCTTTTTCATATTTTTATTTTTCTGTCTGTGCGTGTGTATCCATGGGAATCCTCTGCCGAATGAACGCAGGGGCCCACTGGGGCCAGAAGAGGGCATCAAATTCTGTGGAGCTGGAGTTCCAGGCAGTTGTGAGCCACTGGAGTGGGTGTGGGGATCCTACCCTTGTGGGGTGTTGGTTTGTTTGCGCTGGGGTTAAAGGTGTGTGCACAGCCAGCTTCCTACTGTGATGTGATAAAGATTGAGGGCTGAGCCCAGCATCCCAGGGAAGTCACCAGGCAGTCAGGAAACAGCAAGTCAACTTGAGGGTCCCTTGCTGACAGGCTGGGACTCAGCAGCCCAGAGGTTCAGGGAAGACGCTGACTTGAATATGCAGAGCACCGCAGAGCTGCCCATTATGGCTGAAGTACACATGCCCCATTCTTTCTTGAAGAAACTGTTGTCTTTATTCAATGGCTTCGTGGCTGTAAGTGTGTCACAATCCAGGCCCTGGGGACTTGGCAGCCCCGTCCCTGGAAGACAGAAATAAGTCGATCTAAATTGCCTTCCGGATCTGTGTTCCCGGAGGGAGGCTGGAGGGGCAGGAGAGATGTAGGACAGGTTGATGAGGAGTGAGACTTGTCAGAAATAAATGTGTAGGAGGCACCGTGGGACCCAAAGCTGGGGATATCAGCACAAATGTACACAGTTTGGGGAGCCTGGCTCGGGGATGGAAAAGGCGAGGTTTCCATCAGATCCCATGGAAAGGAGTTTGAAAGGCTGGAGATGGGGGTGGAGCACTTGCTGAGCTTGCAAGAGGCCCTGCGTTCTGTCCCCAGCAGGACATACACCAGACGCAGAGGCATGCCCTGTGCTTGAGGTGTTGGCCAATCTGAGCTACATGAGATGCTGTCTCAAAAGCAAAACAGAACAAACTAACCATACTTCAGAAAAAAAGATTGAGTTTGAAAAATTAAGATAGTGTGGTGTTTTGTTTATGTGTTGTTTTTGTTACCTTGACAGAAGCTGGAGTCATCGGGAAGAGGGTGCCTCCTCTGAGGAACTGCCTTCACCAGATTGGCTGTGGGGATGTCTGCAGAGGTATTTTCTTCGTCAGTGACTGATGCGGGAGGGCCAACCCACTGTGGACAGTGCCGTCCCTGAGCAGTTGGTCCTGGGTAATTCGTTTTCTGTATCTCAATAATGGTTTCTCCACTGATGCAGTAAGCCAGATCAAGCAGAATTGAAAAGTAAAAGAACAGGTTTATTTGAGCAAAGCAACTCCCGGGTGAGCTCGCCAGTCCCAGAGATCAAGGCAGGAGAAGTCACACACCTGAACTAAAGCAGGGAGGTTGTATAACCCATAGGTGAGGGGTGATGACGGACACATCTGCCATGAGCTGGCTTTGTGCCCAAGTATGGTCAAAAACTGAGCGCTTCAGACGGGGACTTGGGCGGGCTGGCAATTTCAGGGGAGGAGCTGCTGTACCTGCCAAGGATGCAGAACTGGGATTTTTGGTACCTTTTCTTTGTTGGAGATTCTTGGAGAGGCTGGGGTTTGGAGAGAGAGAGATGGAGCTTCTCAGACCATGCAGGAGTGAGCTGGATGTTCCAACCGAACATTGGATACTTTGAGAAAGCAGGCTGACCAGGTTATAGAGAGAGCAAGCCAGTAAGCAGCAGTCCATGGCCTCTGCTTCAGCTCCTGCCTCCAGGTTCCAGCCTTGGCTTCCCTCAGGAGTGGGCTGTCAGCTGTAAGCTGACATAAATCCTTTCATGTTTCATCACAGTAAAGTAGGACTTTTGTTTTAAGATTGATTTGATCATTTTAATCATGTGCATGTGCGTCTAAGTGCACTCGCCATGGAGGCTGGAGTTACAGGTGGTTATAAACCATCTGGTGTGAATGCTAGGAACGGATTCCACTCCTCTGCCAGAGCTATGCATGCTCCCAACCTCCGAGCTGGCTCTCCAGCACCCCGCACCCCCCCACCCCCCCCCACTTTTTTCTCCCTTTACATAGTCTTTTGAAGATTTGTTTTTATTGTCATTGTATGTCTGTGTGTGAGTATGTGTGCCTGTGTTCAATGCCTGGAGAGGTAAGAGGAGTGTTAGTCACATGGTGTCATATTCCCTGGAGCTGGACCTAGACTTGCAGGTGGCCCTCATGTGGGCAAAGGGAACAGGACGCAGGTCCTCTGGAAGAGCAGAACATGTTCTTAACTACTGAGCCTGCTCTCCAGCTTCTCCTTTTTCTCTTTTTAAGAAAGTATTTTTTTTCACATGAAGTTTTGGATGCCTCCTGCATTAATTAGTGTTGCTTGTATGCATAGCGACACTTGGTTATTTACATGAACAAGGCCATGTACCAGTGGTCACACCACTGAGGACTTTGACTTCCCCTCCTACAGCAACCTTTACCTGCCTATGGCTCCTCCGGCCGTGGTGGGACCCTCTGAACCCTCTCTCCTCCGAGGAGGGGTGTCAACAGCCCCATTTGGGCAGGAAACCACTGCTGTCCTGAGCTCACGGGTGCGACAACCACCTCATGTCAGGAGATTGCCCTCCGAGGCCCTCCTCCCATCCTCCACCTCTTCCACTCTCCACGCTTTCTCCTGTGATGTTCTCTGAGGTACATGTCCTGTTTAGGGCTGAGCACTCAGTCACGTGTCCTCACATGCTGACCAATCACGAGTCCTCATTACCCAGTCACTTCCTATAGACAGCAGCTTCTCTGACCAAAGTGGGGAGAGCATTAATCTATGGATAGAAACATAATTTTTAGAAGGCAGTTTGATGCCATATCCAATCAACAAAGCAACAGTAGTATATATCCTCCCCACCCGGGGCCTGTGACTTCCCCAGCCACAGAGTTTCTTTGTTTTTGAGACAGGGTCTCTCTATGTAGCTCTGGCTGTCCTGGGTCTATCTATATAGACCAGGGTGGCTTTGAATTCACAAAGGTCCATCTACTTCTGCCTCCAGAGTTCTGGGATTGAAGGTGTGCACGAGCCAGCATGCCTTGTCTGGCCCATTCCTCACAAGGCGATCCAACAACGCCCTCTTCCCACCTCTCTGCAAGCAGGTTCTAGGGCAGTGAAGGGTATCCAGTGAGACCTGGTTTAAAAAAAAGACGAAGAAAGAGAAAATTAAAACAGACAAGAGCCTGGCGGCGGTGGTGGCGCACACCTTTAATCCCAGCTTGGGAGGCAGAGCCAGGTGGAGTTCAAGGCCAGCCTGGTCTACAGAGAGAGATCCTGGAAAGGCACAAAGCTACACAAAGAAACCCTGTCTCGAAAAAACCAAATAAATAAAAATTAAAAAAAAATAAAAATAAAACAGATAAGAAATTAGTCTGGGCTCTCAAGAAAATTTCGTAGCTAGGTATGTCATTTACCTCTAGTCCCAGCCCTCAAGAGACAGTGACTGGTGGATCTCCGAGTTCGAGCCCAGCCTGGTCTACAGAGCTAGTTCCAGGACGTCCAGGGCTACACAGGGTTTTGAGAAACCCTGTGTCAAAAAAGAAACAAACAAACAAAATGACAACAAACGCCAGTGTTCTTCGGCGAGGCAAGAGTTTTTCTCCCGTGGAAGGGTGCAAAGCCTTGGTTAGGTTACCACCAGGCTTTTAAGACTCCAAACGCAAAGGGGTCCTGTGCCTCTCTGAGCGGTCAGAGCCAGGCCTCCATTCTTATGAGAGTGGCTGATACAGAGCAGTGAGGTTTCTATGGAGAAGTGAAAGCTGAGTACATGTTTTGATTTCCAGAAGTGCTGACCCTAGAGGAATTCAAATTTTCTGCCAAGTGGCTTCTTTACGATTTTTTAAATTTTTTTTTTTTTTGGGGGGGGGTTGTCTTGTTTAACCCTTTATTAGAAAAGATGCGAAGATGCGGCACTGTGTTTGTTTCCCATGACCTGGAGCTGGAAGTACAGGCTGTGTGAGCTGTCAAGTGGGTGCTGGGAACTGAGCTCAGGTCCTCTGGAAGAGCAGTGTGTGCTCAGAACTACTCAGTGTCTCTTCAGCCTGGGTGGTCTTTCTTGTTCATTAGTGTGTGTGCTGAGGATGAATCTAGGCCTTCAGGGATGCCAAGCACGAGGTCACTGAGCTGCACCTGTGCCCCAAACTGTGTCCACTCTCCTGTTTCCCTGACCTTTTAAGTTTCTGAAGCACCTTTTCCTATCAGGGTAACATGAAGATGTAGTTTCTTTGTCTTTGTTTTTGTTTTCTGTCTTATTTTTGAGGCAGAATTTTACTATGTACCCCTGTGGTTGGCCCGGAACTCACTATGTAGCTGAAGATGACCTTGAACTCCTGACTTTTCTGGCTGGTGTGTAGTGGTTTCCATATGCAATCCTAGACATTGAGAGGCTAACAGGAGGATTGGTATAAGATTGAAGCCAGCCTGGGCTACATTAGACTCTGTCTCAAAAACAAGCAAGCAAACCAGGACCAGTGAGATGTCTTGGTGGTAGATGTACCTGCCATCAAGCCCGACCCTCTGGGTTCCATCCCTGGGACCCACACAGTGAAAGAGGGGAACCAACTCCTGCAAGTTGTTCTTTTACCCTAAAGATGTGTGCATACATCTGCCCGTGCGCATGTGCACACGCACGCACACACACACACACACACACACACACACAATATTAAAAAAAATCTTTCTGCTTTAGCCGGCCTTTGTGTGTACGAGTGTCCCCCTTGTGTGGGGTGAGGATGACAGTGGGTGTCCTGCTGTCCCTGTCCACCTTATTCCTTTCAGGCAGGGTCTCTCACTCAGCTAGAGCTAGGCTGGTGGCCCAAAAGTCCTGAGCTCCTCCTGTCTCTCCTCCCAGCGCTGGGGTTGTGCACATGGGCCGCAGTGCCTGGCTTTTATGTGGGTTCTGGACATTTGAACTCAGGGGTCCACGCTTGTGCGGCAAGAACTCTGACCCACTGAGCCAGCTCCCCAGCCTTGTCCTACACTTTAACAACTCTGTTTTGCCCAGTGTGTGTGTGTGTCTGTGTGTGTGTGTGTGTGTCTGTGTGTGTGCGTGCATGCGTGCATGCGTGCATGCGTGCATGCGTGAACACCTGCAGAGGCCAGAAGAGGAGACAGATTCTCTGGAGCTGGAGTTACAGGCAGTTGTGAACTGTCTAGTGTGGGTGCCGGGATCTGAACTCAAGTCTCCTATAAGAATAGTAAATGTTCTTAACCACTGAGCCATCTCTACAGCCCCCATGTCCTCATCCTGTAAAACTACAGTAACAGTTGAGCGTGGTGGCCCACGCTTTTAATCCAAACACTCGGGAGGCAGAGGCAGGTGGATCTCTGTGAGTTCAAGGCCAGCCTGGTCTGCAGAGTGAGATCCAGAACAGCCAGGGTTACACAGAGAAACCCTGTCTAAGGGGGGGAAAAAAGAAGTGCAAGGGTAGCCTACATAACGCGCATGCCTGGACTACGGAATGAAACAACATACAAAATCGCACTGTAACAGCACCCTGCTGCTCCTGAAAGATGACTGTGACCATTTCATTAAGCAAAAATCTAAAAACGTTATTTCTGAAACAGAATTTTACCTCAAAAAGTAAAATCTGGCAGGGCAGTGGGGGCGCACACCTTTAATCCAGCCCTCAGGAGGCAGAGGCGGGTGGATCTCTGTGAGTTTGAGGCCAGCCTGGTCTACAGAATTCCAGGACAGCCAGAGCTACACAGAGAAACCCTGTCTTGAACACCTCCCGCCCCAAAAAAGGGTAAAATCTGGGGCTGGCCGGTGCCCAGCAGTTGAGAGCATCAGCTGCTCTTGCAGAGGATCCGGGTTTGCTTCCAGCACCCGTTAATTAGCTCACAATCGCCTCCCACTCCAGTGCAGGGACCCAGTGTCCTCAAGCATCAGACATGCACAGGGTCTGTGTATTCAAAACATTCATACATATAAAATAAAAATAACTGTAAAAAAGAAAAGTCAGCCAAAATGGTACGTGTGCCTTTAATTCTTTCTCTTCTTTTTAAAGATTTATTTATTTATTGTGTCTACAGTGTTCTGCCTGCATGTATGCCTGCAGGCCAGAAGCGGGCACCAGATCTCATTATAGATGGTTGTGAGCCACCATGTGGTTGCTGGGAATTGAACTCAGGACCTCTGGAAGAGCAGCCACGGCTCCTAACCTCTGAGCCACCTCTCTATCCCAAAAATACATCTTTATTTATTTATCTTTTTGCTTTGTTTTTCGAGAAAGGGTTTCTCTGTGTAGTTTTAGTTCCTGTCCTAGATCTCCCTCTGTAGACCAGGCTGGCCCTGGGAACTCACAGAGATCTGCCTGGCTCTGCCTCCTGAGGGTTGCAGTTAAAGGCGTGCACCACCACTGCCATGCTGCTTCCTGATGTTTCTACATCACTACCAGCTCTGGGTATTGCTCTGTTTAGCATTTTTGCTGATTTTATTAGCTTCTGCTTCCCTCTGGCCCCACCCAGGAAGACTCCCACTTGTACTCCCTGACCTTCTTCTCTTTGGTTTCTGTTCTCAAGGTGTCTGGCATGGTCCTCACTGGACTGGCTCTCGGGGTCATGTATGGAGAGGCCACAATGACCAGGGTCCTTGGGATGTCCTCTGCCTACCTCTTTCACTTTGGTTATCTGAGCCTGGGAATGGGCTGCATCACCAGAGTGCTCAGCCTTCCGGGGCGGTATGGAATGACCACGGAAAAGGGGCACGCTCCTGACTGTAAGCAGTCCCCACGTGGAGACCACACGACCCTGCCATGTGTGGCCTCCTAGTACCCTCTATGGCCGCTGTTTTAGATCGTATTTTGTTTGTTTTCCCAGACAGGGTTTCTCTCTATAACAGCTCTGGTTATCCTGGAACTCAATTTGTAGACCAGGCTGTTCTCAAACTCACAGAGATCCACCTACCTTCTGAGTGCTAGGATTAAGGCTGTGCACCACCACTGCCCAGCTTAGTTTTTTGTTTTTGTTGTTGTTTGTTTGTTTGTTTGTTTTAGACAGGGTCTCAGTAGATAGCCCAAGCATACCTAAAACTCAAGATCCTCCTGTCTCCTCCTCCAGGGTGCTAAGAATAAAGGTGTTCGCTCCCATACCTGCTTCATAACTGGCTTTTTTTCCCTTGAGTCAGGGTCTCATGTAGCCCAGGCTGGCCTTGATCTGGCTAGGCAACCAAGGATGACTCGCATTCTCCCTCTCCTGCTTTTCAAGTCCAGGCTCCTGCCTCATGTCCTCACCACTGAGCCACCTCCACAGGTCTCCCAGGGAGTCGTTAATGCTCCTTCTTTTGCAGCTGAAGTGCTGTGGTGGCGCCCAACGTGTTGGCAAGAGTTTCCACCTAAAACTTGAGAAAAAAGATTCTAAAATGGACTAAAAACAGCTTCTTAATTGTCTCTCTCAAATGAGCAGCAGCTGCCTGTTTGAGTTACTGGCGGGTTCCTGGCGTGTGCGCTTGACCTGCAGTATGGCAGGAATGAGGCCTCTGCAAATGGAACATTAAGCTGCGTGGCGGATTTAGCCTTTGCTAGTACAAAACAAAAAAAGAGGTTTCTGGGCTACACACTGCTTGGATAAAAGTGTAGACCCACTATTTCTGAGACTTGATGGCTCCCAGAGCTGGTGGAAAACGTACCACCGCCAAGTTGGGAAATTGAAGGGG